ATTATTGTGAACCGCCCAGAGTCACCCGTTGGGGGAGATGGGCGGCATACAAGTTTAACAATAAATAAATTTTTAAAAAAGTCTTGCATAACCTATTTAAAATTGTTTTTACCAAGTGAAATAACATCATTACAGAATCCTATATTCTACATCATAGTTAAGTATATGTTTTCCTTTTGAGCATATCACACAGCAGAGGCTAATTTTTTTACCGAAAATATTTAATCAGCTTCTTTCAGAAATAAACAAGTATATTTCTATACCAGAGAAATCTCTCCCTTTTTCTGGTTGTAACTATTAATATGTAATGCCATAAACCATGAGACAAGACACTTGTTAGGGAAAACTCCACTCTTCCCTACAACTAGGCCAACATAACTGTTGATCATCCCTAAGCTCTGCCAATGGTCCAATAGAAGGTTATGTGCTTTACACTATTAAAACTGGCAGAGAAACTAATTTTGCAAGAACCTAAAGCTTTGGGGCATATGCAGCTTTTTTTCCCCTTTCAACAGCCACAGTAATGTTGTTGGGGAATGAGGGTAGTATTCCAGATGTAAGAAAATTATCCTGAATATGTGTCAGTACCCTGCCTGCATGTACTACATAAACCCTTGTCAGTAGAATGTGGGGAACATGTTAGCTTGCAAAGTTGTTTCTAGATAGAAATCCTTTCTTGCGTTAAGAATGCTGGGGATGAAACTGGGTTTTAGTTGTACTTGTGGCATATTGTCCAAAATATGCTAAACTTTACAGGATGTAAAGATGCAGCAGAAGCAAGGATAGAGAAATATACAGAGGTACTGTATAGTGAATCATGTTGCTATAAACTAGATTTAACTGTATTTTCTTATATCATGCTTATTTCTTTCAGCTTACTATTTCTGGACATTTTCTGCACTTTGAATAAAGTTACTTACTGGGAATATATATAAGTGTAACATAAATTGAATTTATGGTCATGTTAGCATTTCAATATTACTAAGTCCAGAAAGCAAAAAATGAATGTGTTCCTCCAAACAGGGAATCACAAAGTATACCACATGAGAATGTGCCAACCCAGATTCCAATTAACATGTCAGCAATTACCTGAAACATATTCTCATCTCTGTTGCTACTCTGCACGGAGGAGGCTGCACCTCTGGAACTTTCACCAGTCTTCTGTTTCTTTACAGGCTTTTCTGGGGCTGCTTGTTTTTTCCTTTTTTCCTTGGCATTTAAAAATAAAAAAGAAGGACTTACTGGACAAGTACTAGTTTCAGATCATACAGCTAGATCTTTTCCCCACAATTATATAAGAATGGAGAGAGGATTCAAAGACCCAATATTAAGACTCTCTGCTTCTATTGAATGTTACGGCAAGGTTCACACATTATTTCCATTTCTACAGAATGACCCAGAATTGAGGCTTAAAATAAATCTAATCTGTTAAATAGGACAGCAAGAGAAACTGGTTGGAATTAATTTTAAATTGTATTTCACAATTTGTAGTTAAGCTACAGATCTGATACAACTGAACTGAATTTTGGTTTATTCCTCTTCAGCTAGAACCCTAACCAAAGAAGAGAAAAAACAGCATGAGCCAAAGCCTCCAGTTGGCCTCATTTCTTTTCACAAAAGCAGTCCCAACTATGATTTTGAGTTGCAAGTATCAGCCCCATATTTTCCAGAAGTGGTCTCATAAAATAAAGGCTACATTTTATCAGTGGAAAAAATACTTAAGTAGATTTTGAAAAGTAAAAGACACTATGTTCCAACTATAACCACATTTATATTATATCTAAAGAAGGCAGGAGAGCATGAATCTGCAAGTGGAAGAGTTTTATCTGCAGAACAGTTATGAATGGGAAGGAGGCCAATTAGTCTCTACCACAGAATGTGAAGGAGAATCTAATTACTTACCGACAGCAGATGATTCGCATGCTGGAATTTAAAAGAACACAGAACAATGTTAGTATTTGATTATACAGTGTATTTTAGATTAGCAATCAAACTAATACTTGCCATAAAAAGGCCAAATACTTAGCAAAGGCAGAAATTCATCCCTCTCTTGATCCAAGCTTGCTAAAAAAAAAAAAAAAACCACTGAACTGCAACAGCTATCTGAATTAGGCTTCAGTCCTCTACCCACTCAGCAAGGATATTTTAGAATTTTTATTTTAAACTGTATCAATAGACTCAAGAATTTTGACTAGGCAAAGTCAAAAACAAAACAAATCAAGATATTTGCTGTGATTCCAAGAATGACACATCTTTCACCTTAAGTCATAAAAAATAGCACACATGTATTCAGCAAATATTTACTACATAAGAGCAGATCATTTTAATTTCTATTTTAAGAAAATATAGAGTTTAATGAACATATTTCCCTGCCAAAAATATATTTATATGGTTCCCTTCATTTGTAGCTTTTAAACACCAATCCAAGGCCTTTGTCTTAGGGTTTAATTTATGGTTAGCAAGACAATGCAAAAGTGTTTTATATAAAATAATCACCGCTGTATCAGCGTCTGAATCACTGCCAGATGAGCTTGAAGACACAAGTTCCTTTGATTTAGGCATTCTAGGAATAAAAAATGTAGTAAAAAAATAGTACATGCTTCCAATAAAATGAGACTTTCACAATTATGCGAGCATGCATTATCAGGTCACTCCTTCCAACACTACGATTTCAAGCATTCATACAGTGAAGTTCCATTAAGTCAACAAAGCCAGTATGATATAGTGGTTAACATATTAAACCAGGAGCTGGGAGCCCCAGATACCAGTCTATCCACAGAAACTCACTGGGTGACTTTGGACCAGCCACTCTCTCTGCTCCACTTGCCTCACAGGCTTGTTTCTACAGGGAAAAATAGCAGGGAGTGATTTATATGTCACCTCGAGTGCCAGAATGAAAAATACCAAAATAATATTTAAGGATTAGGATACTCAGCTTATTTTAGCACTGAGATTGTATGGAAAAGTGACAGCAGGGGCGCAGTTTGAAAAAAGGATCAAGCTGGGAAGCACAGAATGCTTAGATTTTCAATTTCTTAAGTACAGGTAGTCCCCTGGTTAAGAACGCCCAGGTTACAGACAACCCATAGTTAAGAACAAAGCCTACTGTAGCAAAATTCGAATTAAACACAATGATTTGAGTTAAATACACAATGGTTCAAACATTACACAATACTACTAATACAGTATTATACAATAATACTGTTCCAGCTTACATACAAATTTGACTTAAGGACAGACCTTAGGAACGGAACTCGTTCTTAAACTGGGGACTACCAGTAACGGAACTCGTTCTTAAACTGGGGACTACCAGTAACGGAACTCGTTCTTAAACTGGGGACTACCAGTATTATACAATAATACTGTTCCAGCTTACATACAAATTTGACTTAAGGACAGACCTTAGGAACGGAACTCGTTCTTAAACTGGGGACTACCAGTAATACCCACAATTTCTTCTTTCCTCCACATTTTTCATTCTGTATTATAAAGACAGTATATCCGTGTGTCTCCAAAAGTTTCAGCATCACCTTCCAGCATCTCTGACCATTAAGTGGCTGATTGTCACAGATGATGGAAGGTGATCCAAAAGCATCTGGAGACACACAGAGGAGAATCTTTATAGTAAAGAATGAAAAAAAATGTGGAGGAAAGAAAAAGAATAGGTCAAAAGATTATGAGCATAAATATATGCTCAGGGTATCCAGACTGACAGAACAGGTAGTGTAAGGGAGGTGGCTTTCAAGCTCAAGGCTGCAAATGCACATCTAGAAAATATGGAGTGCTAGGAAGTAACCATACTCTCCATCTTCCTTGGGATATAATTTCCTCTACTGACAGAGCCCTATACAAAAATACTATCTGCTTTAAGAAAAAAAAAAGTCCACCTGTTTGTACCATACTTCTGTATATAATACTGCTTGTATTACACTTAAATATAATTCTGTTTGCATTATACTGTACCACAATAAACTACAACTTCCCTCTTCTTCCCCTTTTTCTTTAGCTTTCTTGCCTGAAGAATTCTTAGAAATTCTAAAGAACACAATATTTATTAAACCTTCAGTAGTGTAGTAAAGATTTTGCCTTAATGTGGACTTTGAATTTTGAACCCTAACCCTGCATGGTAATCCTGTTTCTGTTTTTTATGACAAAAGAAAAACACAACAGAAGAAAAAAGTTGAGAAGATGATCAAAAATTTCAGGATGCCAAAGCTACAGACTTATTGGGTAGAAGAAAAAGCATCTCTATATGATATTTGAAATACAGTAACAGATTAATGGAGAAAAATTTTTAAAACTGTGTAATAATACAGAGTGAAAAATAATTAATACAGAATGGACAAAAATCTAACAATTGCAAAAGAGTGCTTATACCACGCTTTCCCTTAACTGTAAAGAAAGTAAAAATGATCCTACTGAGAATCCCTGCAAAACATAACTTGTCATTAAAACAGGAATACAAATTAGAGTGCCAAGTACTCTAGGACATAATAGCAAAACCGTAAAATAACAGTTAGAGAACTGTAATTATGCTTGCTGTTTTGCTTGAGCTGGGAAGCAGGCAGCAATACTGGAGTGTAAAAAACAGACAAGAATGAAGGTATTCCAGTCCCATTTAGAGGTTTAATGTTCTTTCTGATGAATTAAACAAATTTAAGGGTTTCTTATCACACTCCTAATATACAAAGTCAACTCGAGTTCATAGAAATGTATGCAATGATAAATTTGCCAGTCCATAAACCATTATGCAAAGCATGAGCCAAAGAGGATACCACAAGATGCAGACCTTCCTACCAAGAAGTAAACAACCGGAGATGACACTGAGGCCACAAAGCCTCAGTGGGTCCTCACGATTGTTCGCTGGGATTTTAATATTGCATTATATTTCAGTGTAGGCTGGCCAATCATTTTGATGTCACAGACCCCTGAGAGGGTCTTGGGGGACCTCCAAGGATCCTCGGATCACATCTCGAGAAACGCTGCTCTAACTGGAAACGGACCCCACAACTGGACAGAATGGCCTGAAAGGCACAGGCGGGTTTGGAAGTTGTGGGAACAGCAGAAGCGATCCTGACTAAGAAGGGAAAAGGGTTAGTAGCGAGTGAGGGCAGAAGGTGAGTGAGGGGAAGCAGGGGGCAGCGCGTGTACCCCCACCAGGGCTCCTCTGACAACCAGCCCGGCCCATTTGGAGGCCCGCAGGTCGAAGGACATGCAGGCACGAGCGAGCAGGCGCGGGAGGAGCGGAGGGGCCGTCGGCGCCGAGGACGGAAAAGGCTCGCCAGCACCCCGCCTGAAGGGGAGATGGGGATCCCCTCAGACTGGTCAGGAGGGGGCGGATCCCAGCCGCCATTTTATCCCTCCCTCCCTTCGATGCCTTCGCTGCCCCCCTTCCCCGACACGGCAGGTTTGGGACCAGAAACGAGGAAAGGCAGGTCCGGCCGGGCCCCTTCCCCGGTTCGTGGGGATCCGCTCGTTCCCCACCGCACCTTCTCCGGATGGAGCAATTCCCCGGCCTTTTCTGGGGAATTCCGAGATAGCAACATGGCGGCCTCAACCGTTCCGCTGCGCATTCCGCTCTCACAGCCCATTCCCGCCTCCCTGACAGAAAACCCGGGGGGGGGAGAAGGGAAGCGCGCACTCACATTCCACTCGCGTCCTTCCACTCCGGTCTTGCTAACGTCTCCTTGCCTCTCGGGTAGTCCCAGCACTACTGGAAAAACGGAAGTGACGTTTGTGGCAAACCCCGCCTATTCCCGACCACCACGTGGTGGTGAGAAGGATGCCCCTTCAGTCGCGCGAGAGGCGCACTGTGAGAGGGAAGGTTGTGCTGGGTGCTGCGTTTCTTGATGCTTCGCAGCTGTTCTCCCTGCGCCGCTTCATTAAAACAGCTTTCCTAATAAGGCAGCCTCGCGAGGTTCTGAAGTTTACCTATCATACCTTCGGATGCCATGGTGGCTTTTTGGTTGGGTATGACAGTCGTTCACTCCATCTGTGGGATGCGCTTATACGCGCTAGGATCTGTCTGCACCGTTTAATTGTTGCGCAAGGACAAAGCCACCCCCGAGCGTTCGTAAGCTCTTAGTTTAACAAGCGAGCAATACAGTATTTCCATCCGTTCGTAGCTGCATTTTGGGAGAAGGACTTCACAATACCTGCACGAGCAGAGTTCACCTATTGCACCACATGTTAGTTCAGTTAACCATTGTTTATTAAATAAAGCACAATTTGTGCGGTTTACACTACAGGCAAAGAGACTTAGTATAATACGTGAAGCAGTCATTTTCTAACCCATAATTACGCTATTGCTTTCCAATTTTCTGTGATCAGAAAAAAGAGTTATTGATAGAGATGAACTCCAGGGCCTTTCATTTCCATGGTGTCAGAAGGCTGTTGAGCTTACTTAATTTTGTGACTTGTAAACCACTTCTTAAGTGAATTCTTTGAATTCATCAAAATCCAGAGCAAAATAAAGGGTTGCAATTGCTAATCCAAGTTGTAGAGTTTTATTTTCCTGGTGGTTAAAGGCCACGGATCCAAACTATGGTCCATTTTTCCTCTTTCTCAAGGATGGGAAGCTGGATATGAAGACGTTTACTAGTTTGGGCCTTTGCTGTGACTGATCTACGCTCCAAAACCTAAGCACGGACATCTAGAATTGGAACCAGCAACCATCTCAGATTTTTAAACCTGGAAGGGAGACATTTTTTTCAATATGAAACGTCAGGGTATTTGTTGGGGTCCACTGAAATCCCTTTCTCTCTCCATTCTTTGTACAAAAGGTGAAATGCAGTTGCTAGGCTGCTCTTGACCACAATGACTACTACTAGGACTATGCAATACTTTGAATTCAAAGGTGAAAAGGTGCTTCATAACGTGCAAGTGTGCTCACATAGCTGTAGGCATCCATGGGTAACCATGAAAATGAAGAAATGAGATGTGTGGTTATACCACCATGCAAACCCTGCCCTTTTGTACTTGTATCCTGATGTCAGATGCAAGCAGGTGAATCACAGGGCTTGCATCACATTTCATCACTTGCCATTCCCCCATTCGAGCTATGTATGTAGTGCTTGTCTAGAAATTCTTACAGCTGTTGCATCTTCTCCTACCTGGCTGCTGTGTGACCCTGGAAAAAGATGCCTTTGGTGTTGGAGATGGCTGCTATGCAGAGGTGTCATCACTATATGGTATGCAACGCACATAAAAAATAGGCACAGCTTTGATCACACTATCAGGTCTGCCATCTCAACTTTTAACCATACTGTACAAATATCCCTGTTGCTATGTGTGTGATCCTGTACATGCCAAAACACTTCTTTGCCTTTGAAGCTGAAGTGGTACACAGCCATATCAGTAGGGTATAGGGAGGAAATGTATTATGGTTTCAATGCTGAAAGTTAAGTTTTCATATAGAAATTGTCTAAAAATACATGGAAGAATTATTGCTGTGCTACTGGCACCTGCCAAAATTAGAATGCAGGGATAGTATAATATAATAAATAACTTGGG